TACAACTTTTTCATTTACAATGTTAGAATTACAGTCCTGCGCGTTAAGTGCAAACACTGCTTTTATAATTTTAAATTCATTACCTCAGCACTACTAGTGGTCTTTTTTATTACATGAAAGTAGAAACATCTAGTGGCAGTAAATTTGACTCATAATTTCTGCAATTCAACCACTTAAGCATAAAATACTTTGGAACTGAAGGTAGAATGTGTGATTTAATTGTAAACGAATATCATGTTGCAGTTTACCAAACAGACGACCATATGTAGTAGGTGCAGAATATTCGATGATTGTCAAAGATTAAAGTCGCTTTCCATTTTGGGAACGCTGAAAGCCATGCTTTTATAATTGATTATTTAGTGGTTATAAAAATGTGACATAATATCCACTGGTTCCAAAAACTCTCATTTAATAGACTATACTGGAGCGCACATGGTTTAAAATTCCTGCAGTATAAAAAGAATAACAATTACAAATCAAATGGGCTGGGACGACATTCGCCTGCAAACTGAAGAGGAAATACATTGTTACTAGTTGAGAATAACTCAAATTAAATTAAGATCCATTTGCTAACTAACTAACCCGCATGTACATCTAAAGCAACAGATGGGAAGCCCTAAACCGCACTATCGTAAGGCTGGGCAAAGACTCCAATTGTCATAGCTTTAAGCTGTCTGTGACTAGAGGTCTCTGCGCTAAGAAATGAGTCAACCAGTTTCGGATATTTCATGACCTTCCAATTCTGCTTGTAAACACGATAATTTAGTGAGCAAGAGGGTGTGCCAGTTTCATTTCAGTGCGATGTGACTCAACTATGAAGGTGTACACTTTCTAAAGGTGATTGCTCACATTATTCATGCTTCATAGCTGCTTTCATGCCTCAAATTTTTCAGTGCTACTTTATTTTTCCCCAGTAATGTTAAGTTCAACTAGGGCTTCTCCATTTTTTTGAATTATTAGGAAGCATCATACTTACGTTGGGCTACTTGACACGTTCGGATTGGTGGGGGAGGTGGAACCCTCATGCCTCCTCCTTTTTTCCCAAGTCTTAGCTTAATACCACTTTTTAATGTCTCATTATTCTTACACTGCTCTTTCACTTTCCCAAAGCATTGGATTTAGCGTTATGAATTACTGCGCTACAGCCTGCCACACCCCTCGTATCCGCCTAGCAGATAACACTTAGGTAAATATAGTCGAATGCACTTACCTTCTCGCATCAGGTTCTCTCACCTTGATTTTCCTGCATTTAAATTCACTTTTCTCTCATCTCCTCCTCTTACGTCACTCCCCGTCAATGCCGTTATGTTTAGATCTATTCATCTTTGTTTATGTCCACTGTTCATCATTCACCTGCACTTTTACCACAGTGTATCATTTGCATTCATGATTTAGGTAGTAGACGAGACTAAACGCTGATTAGACTGCTCTACACCCTGCCGATAACAGTATCTTATTTCATGTTTCTAGCCTCATTTAATAGCAGTACTCACCTCTCCTATCCCCTTCAACTGCTATTTCTTCCTACCCTAGACCTTGCTTACCCAATTTCTTCACTCACGCATTCGCGTTTCATACTGCAGCCGAACTTTTGCCTACCCCATTACCTAGGTGCATCATTTGGCATTTTAAACGATCCGTATACCTTGCCCATTGAGTAAACTGGTCTGAATGTGGAACTTCCACCTATTGGATAGCTCAAGTTCACTTTGTGTTTGACTGTGTTTGCAGCTCTAAGTGAATGTGTATTGAACACCATTTACCTATTTGCCTACCATATCGGCCAAGTCAATATTTTGTTTTTGTAGACAGTAACTTCAAATGGCGTATCATCGAAACGGGCAAAAAAGTCTACTTTCGTGTTTACTCGCTAGTCGTTGGTCAAGGAATACTGCGTGCAGCTGTAAAATTGTATGAGTAAAATTGCGCGTCCATTCTTCTGCTTTTGTCGCTTATATCCTTCTAGTTAACTAGATATCCAGCTCTATATTAAGTTGGCAAGGAAATCGTTTGCTGGCTGAATAGTCCATTAATTGACTAGTTCATCAGGTTGGTGGTTTTTATTTGGTTTGTTAATATTTTCGCCGTCTCCTCAATACACTATGCTCACTTTTAACTCTATACCTCACCCTATTACCTGCCGAATAGTAGAAGTGGATGAGAG